ATGTGATCAACTTTTGAGAATTTCTTGAAAAGATTTGACCTGAAAAAGAAATAAAGAGAATGAGAGTGAATTATTCAAATAGTCATTGAACTTTGTAAAAGGTTTCAACGAAGTCACTGAATTTTAAAAATCATTCAATTCTTCACTGAACTTTGCAAAATGTTTTCATAGGGTCACTGAACTTTAAAAATCACCCCGGAAACCTTTTGCAAGGTTTGATGACCTCGTGAAAATCTTTTACAAGGTTCAGTGATAAATTGGGTGATTTTTAAAGTACAGTGACTATGTAGAAACTTTTTACAAAATTCAGTGACCATTTTGGTAATTTACTCAGAGAATGATGAACCTAGTCAACCATGCTTAGGGAAAACAATATTTAAAAGTTCTCCATTGTGGGATTTATGAAGTTCGGATTAAAAATATTGTGAAATATTAGATGTAAAATGGAATTGAACTGCTTATCTCTCAAATGGAGAAATGGTCTTTTTATATGTTTGAGCCACATTTTTTCAAAAAAATATATTATTAAACAGTGATTTGACATCATTTTAACCATGCATTCTTCAATAAAATAATATTATATGTAAATCTAATGCTTTTCTTTATTTTTTAACCACACATTTCCCATCAACACACTATTTAAAAATGCATTTTAAGGAAAATAATGTGGCTCAAACAAGGGCTAAGTATAAAAGAGCAACGCCGCCTTGGTGTTGTCAATCAATTCATGACGGCATAATGGTAATTAGGCTACCAGGTACTTGTCCAGATTTTGATTAGCTAGAGATGGCAATATTGGCAACGTTATGAAAACCTAGGACCTCACTCCTGATCCTAAGCGTATTTTCAAGGTTGTGGATTAGTATATTCGGTTGAAAAACAATTGGCAATTGGGGACAAGCCACCTTCTGTTGAAATTGTTCCTCAAAATAAGGAAATATTGAAGATTGCATGTGATCCTTAAAATTGGAAATATCAAAGTGGTAGACAAAAGGAAATGGGATCAATTGGTATCCAAATCCGAGACACGTTAATATGGAAATAATCAAAGGAATAAGGAAGAAAAATATGTGTGCCGTGGGCAGATTTTTTTACACGTTTTTTTCTTGTAATTTCCATATTTTGCCAAGACTAGTGTACTATAAATATAGGACTCCTCTTTCAGTATTGTTAGAAGCCATTATTGCTTTAATTCTCTCCCCTTTCATTGATTGAATAAAATAATATCGTTTTTCTGCCAGTTCTATTATTTCTTTACTTTAATCTTGTTCGTGATTTTTCGTGATCTTGTTAATTACTTCAATTACAACAAGTTGTATTCATTAAATCTCAATTCCTACATTATTGATCAATTGGTCTCAACAAGTGGTATCAGAGTGGGGTTATTGGTGGATTTTTGGCCTAAAACTGATTGGAAAATCGTCTGAAAATTACCAGAAAATCAGAAAATGAATCTGTCCATTGTTTTGATGTTCTGCCAGATCTGTTTTTGCGTTTTTTGGTCAAACCAAAAAGATTTTGGAGAAACGAACACCACCAGTGGACTCAGTAGGCAGAGACGGTCCAGAAAGGGTCACAGGTCGCCGACGCGTTTCCGGCCAGTCGCCGGTGATGAAACTCCGGCCAGGAGAGTGGCGGCGCGTGCGGCGGTTTTTGACGATGATGTCTTCAGGCAATTTTCTTCGAACGACGAGACGGACCTTGTGGTGGTGTCCAATTTCAGTTTTGGCCAAAATTGTGGTTCTGGACTATTTTACCCCTTGTATGTTCGGTAGTTTTCAGTTTTTGGGTGTTGCAGGTTGCAAGTTCTTCCTGATTTGATTGAGATTTTTCAGAGATGAATTCGCTGAAGTATGAAATTATGCTATTGGATCGCAATACAAGATTTTATTTGTGGCAAGTAAAGGTGAGAGCTGTGTTGACGCAGATGGATCTTGGTGATGCTTTGCTGGGTTTTGATAGGATGCCAGAAAACTTGTCTATGGAGGAGAAACAACGGAAGGATCGGAAGGCTTTAGCGCAAATACAACTTCATTTATCCAACAATTTGCTACAAGATGTTTTGAAAAAGAAGACAGCGGCTGCTTTGTGGCTCAAGCTGGAGTAGTGACAAAGAGTTTGACGAGCAAACTGACTCTAAAGCAGAGGTTGTATTCTCATCGCATGGCGGAAGGAGGGTCACTGCTGTGTTCAAGGAGATCGTTGCAGATTTGGAGACGTTGGATGTAAAATATGATGAAGAGGATCTAGCCTTGGTCCTGTTGTGTTCGCTACCCAATTCTTTTTTGTCATTTTGTGATACTATTCTGTATAGTCGTGACACGTTATCCATTAAGGAGGTATACGACGCCCTGTTCTCAAAGGAGAAGATGAAGCTGTTGGTTGGAGATCCTACATCTAGGAGTGGGGATGCTTTTGTTACTCATGGTGATCGACGGAGGGGTAGATCGAAAGTGAAGTACAGCAATGTGTATTGTTATTACTGCAAGAGGAAAGGACACATCAAAAAAGATTGCGACAAGTTGTAAGGTAAAGGTGATTTAC